GTTTATCCTGCCCCATTTCGCAGTGCCGTCAACAGAATTTCGCAAGCTCAAACGCTAGAGTGCCTGCAACGTAAGAGTGACTGGGTTAAAGTTTTTGTGGCTGAGGCTTGTGGCTGTCAATTGGTTGTTGCAAGAAGACATACAACTGCAGCCAGAAGTTAATGAGAAGTTTTTAAAGTATTTATTAAATGACCCATTAATGGTATTTTATTAACATCCACCCCTACCCCAACCCTCACAGTAAAGTAAAAACAGTAATTATAACAATACTTTTTAAAATTGTATTCATTAAATTGCCCTACACCAACCCTAAATGCAACTGACAGCAGTAATTATACCAATATTGTTCATATTATTTATTACATTACCCATTACATTGTATTTTATTACTCAAGATCAACCCAACCATAAACCTACCCTCACAGTAATGTAATATTATTATAGTTGTACAATTAATAGGTAAATTTAATTAACGTCTATCCCTATCCCTATTCCAACCCTAAGCCCAACCAACAGTTATTGTATCATTTATATTATTCATTAAATTACCCATTAAATTGTACTTGATTAAGGCCCACCCCCACCACAACCCTCAACCTATTCCTTGCAGTAATGTAAAAATATTAACTATTGCTGTATAGTGTCACAAAAACGAATGATTAGACTTTACCTCATCAAACTGACGTCACAAAGAAAGACCCCCACTCCAAATGCAGAAGAGAATGGTCAGACTTTGATTAAAAATTACCAAAACAAATGTTTTTTTTTTTTCAGATTACATTTTTTTAATTAAATTTTTACATGAAGAATAGCTATGCCAGGGGTGCTCAATCCTGTTCCTGGAGAGCTCCCTTCCTGCAGATTTCAGTTGCTACCCATATCAAACAAACCTGGCTGTAATTATCAAGTGGTGTTCAGGTCCTAATTAATTGGTTCAGGTGTGTTTGATATGGGTAGCAACTGAAATCTGCAGGAAGGTGGCTCTCCAGGAACAGGATTGAGCACCCCTGAGCTATGCGCTCTAGATTTAAGGTCTTGCATCACTTTAACAGAAGAGGGTAAAATGTAATTATTTAAATGAATCAGGTTACAAAGTGTATGTTTTTGTTGCAACCGGGCTCATTATTGATATGTACCCCTGCATACATTCCTGAAGATCTCAAAATACATCCCAGGAGCTACTTTTTTAGATCTCAAATTTCTCTCACGAGTGCCATTCGCACCTGCTGTTCTTGCGTAAATCTACCAGGGGCGTCGCGGTCAACTCTTCTCTGCGCCTCAAGTCCACCGGCGTATGTGGCGAGCTACTAGGCAAACTGGTAACATTGGTAAAGCCGTCTACGAGGAGGTAAGTGGTCAGCTGGTGCAGCGCAAAAAAGAAACAGAAGCCATTTGCGGCATCATACCCCCATGTAGCGTTTAATTTTAAAGAGGAAATGCAGCCATACATACTTCTGGCTACATAATTTGCTCTCTCAAGAATTGTATACGGGGGTCCTTTTTCACTATGAGCCTGTGTTGTTTTATATATATATATATATATATATATATATACTGTATAACCAAGCATTTTCTGCAGTAATCAAAAGACATATCAGATTTCTTGCACCGCAATAAAAATGAAATCTGTGTCTTGCCGGTGGCTATGAAAGGATTAATGTTGTCTGTAAACAGAGACTATCTTCGCCTGAAGGAAAATACTGTCAAACTTATGCTGTGCTTGCACCGAGCTGTCGGCCTGATGTGTTTGATTGACGTCTCGATGTGCTGCTCTTTCCAGCCTTATCTGCTACTTTTCAGAGTTCAGCCTTGCCGAGTTAAGCATTCTGACACACAATCAAAAACGCCTGACATGCAGCTTAGTCAGACTACTGTAAACCACGCTGTACTTGTGAATCAACGTGTGAGAGGAAAATTAATTCTTACACAACACATTCCACGGTCAGACTCAATCTCAGAAAGAAACACAAACTGACCAAACGCAACTGCACACATAGTATGTTTGGTCACATTTTACGACAGAGTTTCATTAGGTAATGTAATTACTAACATAAACTAATAATGAACAATACATGTAAAGCATTTATTCATCATAGTTCAACATTTACTGATACATGATTCAAATTAATTCTGGTTACCATTAGGTAATGCACACTGAGTAGGTATAAACTAACAATAAACGACTTTTATATAAAAAGATGAATAAATACTGTAATAAATGTCCATGTTATTAAATATATTAACCAATAATTAACCTTATTGTAAAGTGTTACAGTATATTATATGTAATATTAAAATAAAATAAATATATTGCAAACAGCAACAATTATTAACCACCATTACCTTTTTCGAAAACTAAATTTAAAACTACACTTTTAATTTACACCCATTTCAGCTAATTGCCAATAATGGGAAACTATCTCATTAATATGCAGGTCATATTCCACATATTATATTATATTATATTATATTATATTATATTATATTATATTATATATTTTTTCCGGCTCAGTCAGAGGTCGCCACAGCGGAATGAACCGCCAACTTCCAGAATGTTTTACGCAGCTGATGCCCTTCCAGCTGAGCCCCATCACTGGAAAACATTCATACACACTCATTCACACACATACACTATGGACAATTTAGCTTACCCAGTTCACCTGTACCGCATGTCTGTGGACTGTGGGGAAAACCGAAGCACCTGGAGTAAACCCACGCAAATCATTTTAGCTTAATTTTAACTTTAAAATGTTTTTAAAATAATTTAAAAAACTGCTTTATTTTTAGCCGAAATAAAACAATTAGGACTTTCTCCAGAAGAAAAATATATTATTGGAAATACTGTGAAAATTTCCTTGCTCTGTAAACATTACTTGGGAAATATTTACAAAGGAAATAACATTTAAAATGGGGGTTTTATAAATCTGACTTCAACTGTATATAATATTATATTCTATATACTGTATACAGTTGAAATCATAAATATTATTATTTGATTTATTTTTCTGTTTTAAATCCCAAATAATGTCTAGCAGAGTGAGGAATTTTTTTTACAGTATTTCCGATTAGATTTTTTCTTCTGGAAAAAGTCTTATTTGTTTTATTTCAGCTAGAATGAAAGCATTTTTTAATTTTTAAAAGCCATTTTAAGGTCAAAATTATTAGCCCCCTTAAACTATATATTTTTTTGATTGTCGGCAGAACAAACCATCATTATACAATGATTTACCTAATAATCCTAACTTGCCTAGTTAACTTAATTAACCAAGTGAGGCCTTTAAATGCCCTTTAGGCTGAATATTAGTATCTTATAATATTAGTGTCTTGTCATCATGGCAAAGATCAAATAAATCAGTTATTAGAGATGAGTTATTAAAACTATGTTATGTTTAGAAATTTGTTGAAAAATTGGAGAAATAAATAAACAGGGGGGCTAATAATTCTGACTTCAATTGTATTACACTCTCAGAAATAAAGGTACACGAACTGTCACTGGGATAGTACCTCTTCAAAAGGTACAAATTTGTACCTACAAGGTCCTTATTATTACCTTGAAGGTGCATATTAGTACCTAAAAAGTACAAAAGTGTTCCTCTTAAAATTTTTAGATACTAATATATAATTTTGAGGTACTAATGTAGACCATTTAAGTACAAATATGTACCTTTTGAAAAGGTTCCCCCCGTGACAGTTTGTGTATCTTTACTTCTGAGTGTGTATTAATATATATTACATTATAATAAATATAATGGGGGTGACGCAGTGGCGCAGTAGGTAGTGCTGACACCTCACAGCAAGAAGGTCACTAGTTCGAGCCTCGGCTGGGTCAGTTGGCAATTTTGTGTGGAGTTTGCATGTTCTCCCTGCGTTCGCGTGGGTTTCCCCCACAGTCCAAAGACATGTGGTACAGGTAAATTGGGTAGGCTAAATTGTCTGAAGTGGTTGAGTGTGTAAGGAGATGGGTTGCAGCTGGAAGGGCATCCGCTGTGTAAAACATGCTGGATAACTTGGCGGTTCATTCCGCTGTGGCGACCCCATATTAATAAAGGGACTAAGCCGAAAAGAAAATGAATGAATGAATGAAAAAATATTATAGAAAGCAAAAAAATTACTTTCTTAAACATCAACTTATTGTTTCAACACCAATTTTCTGTCTTTTTATTAAATTAATAAGCAGGCTGATTTTATTTTGAAAAGCAAAGCTTCAATTTATGATCTGCCAGACAGAACCTTATAATTCCAGGCGATGAATGACTTTTTAGAATTAGTAGCTTCTAATTCAATTTTGAGGGGCAGCACGGTGGAACAGTCGGTAGCATAATCACCTCACAGCAAAAAGGTTGCTGGTTTGAGCCCCGGCATAGGTGAATTGGGTAAGCTAAATTGTCCATAGTCTGTGTGTGTGAATGAGAGAGTGTATGGATGTTTCCCAGTCATAGGTTGCAGCTGGAAGGGCATCCGCTGCGTAAAGCCCATGCTGGATGAGTTGGCGGTTCATTCCGCTGTGGCGACCCCTGATTAATAAAGGTACTGAGCCAAAAAGAAAATGAATGAATGAATTCAATTTTGATCATTTACGATTAGAGGGTCTCTGTCATGTGAATGTATGAAAGAAAACTCACACACACATTGAACTCACACACAAAACTTTGAAACTCAATATCTCAAAATCATTCAGAACACAGATAGAACCTTATAATTATGTGTGCGTGTGTGCTTGCTTGTATAGACACACACACACACACACACACACACACACTCACACACACATATATATTAATGCTCAACTTAAATGACTTCTGCTGTGCACAAACATATTTCTCCCCCTTTTTTTGGTAAGGTGAAATATGACCAATACATTACTGTAGTTTCACTATAGGACACTCAGCCAATATTAAAAATCATATCCCATGCAGCTGTGCAAGAACCCACATCAATTTGAACACCTCCAGATCTTCCAGATAGCCTTTATATTTCCTCAAGAGAAAGTTGCGCCTCACCTTCATGATGTTCTCCTGAGTGGCAGGAGCTGGCATAACAGCTTTTTAAGTTCCTTCAGACTTGAGGAAACGTGCCATACGAGAGGCTAATGCATTTCATCATCATCATCATCACCGTCGTCTCCCTGGTAACGTGTCCCGCTCAGCCTCTCTCGCACGCTCATCACTATAACGGATCTTCAGGTCTCCAGAAAGACAGACGCTGTGCTTTTTTGTTTTAACGCCCTGAGCTCATGCATGCTTCCACCGCCTGTGTGCTTTTCCTCCATAGTGATGGAGACGGAGAAAGAAAGAGAGGAGGAGAGAGAGAGAGAGAAACCACAGTCCACTCCCTCTCTGGAAACATCCAATGCTGGGCTAACAGTGTACGATCCCTCCTCCCTTCAGCTGCTTTCTCACCTGCCCTGTGAAGCAAAACTGAGTGCAAATGGATTTGGCTCGAGCAGAAGAAAAGACAAGAGGACAAATAAAAAAGACATGTTATAAAACGCAACCTCCTGACTCTGAGGATCTCTAAGGCATTGTCTCTTTTCCCATCCAGCCCGGTAGATGGAAGTTCAGCGCGAGCATAAATGATCTTGACACATTCACACTATAAATAATTCAGCATCTTTACAACCGACTGGCCGGCCCGTGAACTAATCTGTCTAAGTTGTTTATTAGAGTCACCGCTATGCAGCACAGGCAATCTCACCATCTCAAGCACCATGCTATAAGAGGAAGAAACATCCCAGAAGAGACTGCTTTAATGTCTGGCTTCCCTCAGACAGCAAATTACATTAAACACTAAGCTACTTGAGAGTTAGATGGGTTTTCATGAGGAAAAGGGTGTTAAGTTTCCAAAAGTTTTTTAAGATTGGAGATTTTAATATGGGCGACACAGTAGGTAGTGCTGTCACCTAACAGAAAGAAAGTTGCTGTTTCGAGCCTCGTCTGGGTCAGTTGGCATTTCTGTGTGGAGTTTGCATGTTCTCCGGGTGCTCCGGTTTCCTCCACAGTCCAAAGATGAAGTGAATTGGGTAGGCTAAATTGTCCGTAGTGTATGAGTGTGAATGAGTGTGTATGGATGTTTCCCAGAGGTGGGTTGCGGCTGGAAGGGCATCTGCTGCGTAAAAATGTGGTAGATAAGTTCGCGGTTCATTCTGCTGTGGCGATTCCGGATTAATAAAGGGATTAAGCCGAAAAGAAAATGATTGAATGAATGAGATTTTAATATGAGGGGAGACATGGTGGCTTAGTGGTTAACACTAGCAAGAAGGTTTTCCCCAAAGTCCGAACGCATGCAGTATAGGTGAATTGAATTAAACAAATTGGCTGTAGTGTATGTGTGTGAATCCAAGAGTGTATGGGTGTTTCCCAGTGCTGGTTTGTGGCTGGAAGGGCATCCACAGTGTAAAACATATGCTGGATAAGTTGACGGTTCATTTCACTGTGGCGACCCCTGATTAATAAAGGGACTAAGCCAAAAAGAAAATGAATGAATGAATGTATGAGTGTGCATCTGAGAGTGTATGGGTGTTTCCTGGCACTGGGTGGCAGCTGGAAGGGCATTTGCTGTGTAAAACATATGCTGGATAAGTTGGTGGTTCATTCCGCTGTGGCGACCCTTGGTAAATAAAGGGACTAAGCCGAAGGAATATATATGATTTTATTTCAGTTTTAGTCTTACTGTTTTTTTTTAATACTTTCGTATTACAAAAAAGATGTAAAATATATCATAGATATGATAGATAGATAGATAGATAGATAGATAGATAGATAGATAGATAGATAGATAGATAGATAGATAGATAGATAGATAGATAGATAGATAGATAGATAGATAGATAGATAGATAGATAGATAGATAGATAGATAGATAGATAGATCACCCGCTTCGATTGTTGTAACTCGATTGAATGGGAATTGTCAGTGCTTATCAGCTGGGAAATATGGGCCAGTAGGGACCTTCTGTGCCTACTAGTAGGCTCAGAAGGCTGTTATTATCCATCTACATGGTTAATCAGCTATACTAATAGAGAAGACTCCAGATCCAGATCTATTTTTACATTACTATGACGACTGGATTTAGCGTTGGGGTAAAGGTAGATGTTAATAAAATAAAATTATTGGGAAATTTTATAATATAGCTGATTAACCATAATGAAGGCGCAGAAGGCCCTTACTAACCCATATCTTTCTGGCTGATAACCACTGAGAACGTCCATTCAATCGAGTCATAACAATCAAATCGGCTAGACAGATAGACAGACAGACAGACAGACAGACAGACAGACAGACAGACAGACAGACAGACAGACAGACAGACAGATAGATAGATAGATAGATAGATAGATAGATAGATAGATAGATAGATAGATAGATAGATAGATAGATAGATAGATAGATAGATAGATAGATAGATAAATAGATAGATTGAATTAATAAAGGTTTTCTGAGGAATCCCTCAGCAGTTGTTCTTGGCACATTAAAGCATCAGAATGGAGCATCTGCTGCTTGCAGCGGGAGACTGCTGCTGAATCTCACCTCACTTATGCTCCGTTAATTACTGCCTATACTCACGAGATACAGACGACCTCCTTAGCTGGGATTTGTATCATTGCTTAACGAGAAAAGTCAGTGTGCACACTTCACAGCCCTGTGATTATGGGATAGAGTGTGTGGAGTAAGCATATTTAAATGCAACTCTTTCTCTTGTCAAGCACATCAGAGTCAGCACAAGCTGTCTGATGAAGCTAGATCAAGTCCACTTGATCGCAGTTACGATAGAGAGCTGTCTGGATGTTAGACAGCAGATATATGCGCTTGTGTTTTGGGACATCCATTGCATAACTTTTCAGAGAAGGAAAAGGAGAGCGAAACGAAGCTGGAATGACCCTCTCGATATAACCATGAGTTCCAAATAGAGGTCACTGTCAGCATGACGTCCATTAGTTACAGCTGAGCCCCTCACCTCAAAACACCAAGCACTCCATCACTGCACAGCAACTGCGCTTTGTAGATGTACAGTAAAGGGGTACAGTGTTGGTTAGGTTTTTAAAAAGTAAGATTTAATATTTTAAAAAGTTTGGATGAGGGATAATTATAATAGTATTATGCTTTTTAAAATACTATCTTTTTTACTTTAATCAAAGCACTTTGTCTTATTCCAGCGTTGGGTCAAAGGTCTAGGATGTTAATGGATATTTATAATGCTACAAAATAGTGACAAAATTTGCATTTAGAAGATATAGACATAATATAAGCATCCAAAGCTTGCAGTTTGTCACTTCTGCATTAATGGATCAACAATGTTTTCACATCACCTCATTTTTCAATATCTCATCAAATCTTGACCAATCAAATGCTCTCTAGTATCTGACATAACCCGGTAGCCCCGCCCCCTTCAAGACGCTTGTTATTTGCTATTCATTTGATGTGCTTGACCTCAACCACTCTCACTGGCAGAGCTGTGATAAAACTAAATGCTATTGGCTTTTTAGAAAAGGGGGAGGAGCTACTATATATCACATGTCCCACAAATTTAGATTATAAAACAAAAATACTGACTGAATCATTTTATCCTTTTAAAAAAACCAGCAGGGCTGTTTATTTGTAATCATACATTTGTTTGTTTTTTTCAGGCTACCTCAAGTCAATTGCTCTGTGGAAAATGGGGTTAAATTTGATCAATGCTTCACTGTAATTCTTATATCACAAACCTCTTTCAACATTTAAGCATCTGATTTTACTTAAGCATTTGTGTGATTTCATTTTCTCTGTCTCAGGTTAGGGAGTTTTTGTTGAACTGTCCACAATAGCACAGGAATATCAGTATGCCAAATCAATAAACTTTGCTGAAAGGCTGGTTATATTTTACCGGCAGCCAGGTATAATAATGGTATTAGAGATTTTAAAGGAAATTAATATTAAGTAGGAAATATAGCCTAAACTTAACAACAACAGATCCAAATCTCGTAAGGTATAGAATGTCCTTAAATTGTGTAGCCTGCCTAGTTGACGGCAAAGTATATTGTTTAGACCTACTGATGGTAAGTGCTAGGCTATATTTTGCATAGACTTGGGGTAATGGACTTTAGAATAAACTTTAACTTGGTTCTGGTCCAAAGACATGTACTATATGTGAATTGGCTAAACAAAATTAGCGGCCATAGCGTGTATGAATATGTGCGTATGGGTGTACATGAGCTGGAATAGTTGGTGGTGCATTCCGCTGTGGCAACCTCTGTTAAATCAGAGACTAAGCTGAAGGAAAATTAATGAATGGATTATTTTCAAATACCAAAGCATTGCTTTGCTTCACTGCCTTTTAAAGCTTGGAATCGCCCGAACATTTTTTATATCCAATTTTATTTTTAAAAATTTTAACAGAGCAAGGACTTTTTCACAGTGTTTCCTATAATATTTTTTTCTAGAAAAAGTCATATTTGTTTTATTTATTAAAAGTTTTTATTTAAATTTTTTTTAATCATTTTAAGTTTATTTAACTGAATGTATTTTAAATACATTACAACACAGATGCTGAAAAAGCAACAGTAAAAAATGGAAAAGTCATATTAGCCATTCAGCGGATGTGAATCAGTGTGGGAAGAAACACTAGCTCCCATATAATACCCTATTGGATGAATGAAAGCTTTTTTCCAGTGTAGTATCTTAAAATATGTCTAGTAAAATATTATATAATGTAATCATGGCATGGAAATGAGTTATTAAAACTATTATGTTTAGAAATGTGTTGAAAAAATCTTCTCTCTATTATACAGAAATTGGTAAAGAAAATATACAGAAGGGCTAATAATTCAGGAGGGCAAATAATTCTATGCTACAGTTGTTCCTACAAGTTTTGTATTGACTAAATACTTAGAGGAAAATATTATAGCAATAAGAGAGAGTGAATTAAAAGGTGGGGAGCAAGAGGCCGATGGCTCAGACTTTACTAGGTGAGTCATTTCTCCAGGGAGACGTACAGCAGACAGAGTGTAATATATAAAAGAAATGAGGGAAGCAAACCTGACTGTGTCCTTCTCTGACAGAGGACCCTTACGGCCAGGAGGAAAACTTATTTCGGGCCTTGACGTTGTACATGATGAAATACAACGAAAACAATCTGCTGTTTCTCTGATGGAGCCTATAGCGAAAAAGACTAACACAGGACTGAACCGCCGGTCACTCGCTTCCACCGTTCCCTGATGTGTCTGCTTGATCAATATTTTAGCTATTGATGTCAAAAAATGCTATTAAAGTGAATTAAATGCTGTTTGTTTTCTTGTATGCTTTACTTTAGTTTGTCG